TACACCTGCAAAAGAATAGTTAGCAAGGGATTTCTTCTTCAAAATAACTTAATAAATTAAGGAAGAAATAAGGTGAAAGTCGTTTGAGTAAGAGAGAAGTTTCTAGGGTTTCCCGGATTGGAAAAACAGAAATTTAGCCGCCGTCTTGTTTTGGTGATTCCGGTTGATTCCGGTGTCTGATTGACGCGCCGTTTGATCTACTGGATTCCTCTCTTCCAGAGCTTCAGTTTGGTATGTAGATCGTCGTCTGGGTACACAGGGTTTGGGAGATACGTCGCTTTGAAGTTGCTGCAGGGATTAGGGTTTCTGCAGCCGCCTAGAGAGAGAGAGCTACGGATTTTTAGCTTAGGGTTAGGGCTCGTGCTGATAACGTGTTAAAGAATAAAGAAGAAGGTTGTAACTCTCATTGTATTATTAATCACGTGGTTACACATATATATATACATACAAGAGAATAAAGCATATTCCTTAGGAGATAAGGATTGCTACAAATAAAGGGGATGATTATCCTAATCCTNCAAACTCAAAACACGAAATCTATCAAGGTGAATTCCTAAAGCATTCAACATAAATAACTTGATAAAAATAAGCAAGCAAACGGATCAAAGCAAGCAAAGATTTCGAGTTCATCAATTAGGGTTTTAGTTTAACTTTTGTTCATGAATACAAGTTTGTATCCATGTACATAGTTAGGCTCTTTAGGGGTTTAATTTTATTTCTCAAACATACCAAAACATTATAGTTTTAAGGGGGGTCGAAACTTATGTTTAAGAGTTTAAGTTTCATACCTCAAATCTCCTTGTTTTTGAATGGACCTCCATTAGGGCAAAACCGGTTTGGATCTTTAGGAGAGAGAGAGATTGGATTGCTTTGAATCTTTTAGTTAAGGCTTTACACCTGCAAAAGAATAGTTAGCAAGGGATTTCTTCTTCAAAATAACTTAATAAATTAAGGAAGAAATAAGGTGAAAGTCGTTTGAGTAAGAGAGAAGTTTCTAGGGTTTCCCGGATTGGAAAAACAGAAATTTAGCCGCCGTCTTGTTTTGGTGATTCCGGTTGATTCCGGTGTCTGATTGACGCGCCGNAGGGGATGATTATCCTAATCCTATAATGATTAGGATAACTACAACATATGGATAAATACAAGGGAGGATAATGACAAGTCTTGGCCGCCTGGTATGGATAAGGATAAGGTGCTTGTCGCCTGGTCTTGGACTGAAGTGAGACTGATGTGGTCTGGTCCATTTCCGGATATGTCCCAACCATCATTTCTCAACACATTTAGGGTAGTTTGCTAATTTTGTTCATTATTTTGTATATCTACCTAATTGTCTCTTGATTAATCATTGTGTACTTTGTAGAGAAAGATAGATATAGATTAATGATTTGGGTGTTAAATTCTAATCGATTTTCGGTTCTCGATAAATTTCACCATGCTTAATTATTATCATAATCAAAATGAACAAGCAATTAAAAATGTTAAACAAATACATTTTTGTGAAAAAGAAAATCATAGTGAAAAATGATGATAATAATTATCTCATCCATATCTTGGGTTAAACGTTGTGTACTACAGTTTCGTTACAACTATTGTGTACTACAAACTTGATGACATTTGTACTGCATAAAGGACCCACGTAAAAACATATAAACCAGACCAGCGATACCATTAGAAGAAAAAAAAAAGCAACACTTTGACTATTTGACAACATCATCTGCATCCTTACGAAGAAGCTGAACCAGGTAAGAATATGTGATTCTGTCGCAAGATTCTTTCTTCTTCTTCTTCTCTCTTGCCGACAGTGTACTGCAGAGCCGATGATATTCTACTCTACTCTTTTCTCCTCTCCGGCGGACTTGCTGCGACATGAGATCGTCTTATCTTCAATCATTTTTCAAGTTAATATTTTATTTTTGTACATATGGTTGCCTTCTCGGATATTTTCTTATACAGTACGGTATATAAACTTTGGATTACAGAAAGGGTTTAGAAAATTCGAAAAATTAAAATAACTATCACTAATTTGATTAAGAAGTAACTTCTATTTTCAGCTATATGAATCAACTTCTAAACGCGGTAAAAAAAAATCAATCAACTTTTAAACAAGTGTTTTAGATAAATTTGGTTTAATTTCTTTTTAATTTATTACTCCGTTAATTTTATTTTGGGGGGGTCAAAGACTCCGTTAAATTAATTAAACTAAACATTCTTGCAACAAATAATTAATTTTAAAGAATAAAAAAAAACATTAGAGAATATTCAGGACAGGCACAAATAAAATACACATGTCTATCTAAATAGGCTTATCCATTCAGACACAAAATATGTGACAAACACTCTGCCACTTCACAACACAGAATCCAAAACCAACCAATGACAACGCGTCTCTCCAGATAACTCCTTTCTATGGATTTTGCTCTTAGAGCCATTCATTGCTCTATCTCATTCTCTTCCTCACTCATAAAACTCACAAGTCACACAATCTTCAATACCAAAGGATAACCCACCAAAAAAAAACAAGCCTTTCACTAAGACAGACCAAGAATCTTCATCATGGCTTCAGTAACCTCAGCCACCGTCGCTATCCCATCATTCACCGGTCTCAAAACCACAATCTCCAAACCCTCAGCCATCGTCAGACTCCCCACCACAACATCACGTACCCTCACCGTGAAGTCATCTCTAAAAGACTTCGGTGTTGCTGCCGTTGCGGCTGCAGCTTCCATCGCTTTGGCTGGAAACGCCATGGCCATCGATGTTCTCTTGGGATCAGGAGATGGAGCGTTGGCTTTTGTCCCCAACGACTTCACAATAGCGAAAGGAGAGAAGATTGTGTTCAAGAACAATGCTGGATTCCCACATAACGTTGTGTTCGATGAGGATGAGATTCCGAGTGGTGTTGACGCGAGCAAGATCTCTATGGATGAGCAAGATCTGCTTAATGGTCCGGGAGAGACTTACGAGGTTGCTTTGACTGAGCCTGGGACGTACAGCTTCTACTGTGCGCCGCATCAGGGTGCTGGTATGGTTGGTAAAGTCACCGTTAACTAATAAATTGTATGTGTGTAAAAGTGAAAGAGTGACTATGAGCCATGTAGAGGCTTTTCTTTCAGTCTTACATATGATGTTTTGTACTTTTAAAGAGTGTTGAATCAAATGGACCGTGATTTGTTATGATGTCAGTATACTTGTTCCATTAATGGTTTTTCTTGGTTTATGAATTACTTGTAGATTTATCTCTGGCTCTAAAGCTTTTTAAGAATATGATAAATTAAGGTGGAAAGTGTATAACAACTCCGTTATAACATGTATGTAAAACCACCCCATCTGCGACTTGTATAAATCTAGCCTGTGTAAAACTAGATTTCTACATTACTTGTAAAACTAGAGTACGGTGTGATTCATCTACATTCATATGTTTAGATCCCTTTAAAACATTTTAAAACCAAATAATAATAGTGTATACAACTCTAATTAACAACATGTAAGAACTCAACTAAAAGCTTGTCTAAGCTCAGCATCTATGTACAACAGTGCATTGCACTTGCACATAAGTAACAGGAAGATGATTGTACTAGCAAGATGTCAAGGGATTAGATTTGGCCCATTATTAAGCCCATTTCACTAAGCCCAAACGCCCAATCAGTTTTAGCATTAATGATTTTCTTTTGAGTATTTGCACTCCATACACACACAAAACACCTTATTTAGCTCCATACCCTATTTCTCTCTTCTCTTTCCTTCCCCCCATCACTATATTTTTCACCCTAAAATATGGCAAATCCCTAAATATCTATTTCTTTTGGTATTTTGAGTTAAATCACTCTTTTCTTTTTCATTCTATGTGGAATTTTAATATTAGATTTTGCTTAAACGCAATAGACGTTACTTAGCAAACGTTCCGTTGACGTATTGACTTTCTCATTCTGTAGTCCGCACAAAGATTTTGGGATTCATCACATTTACAGTATTTTTTGTTACCATTTTATGTACGTCACAAACTCACATTTTGTTTTCGTTATTACATCACTTCCATTGGTTGAAGATTCATCACATGTACAGTATTTTTTGTTACCATTTTATGCACGTCACAAACTCACATATTATCTTCGTCATTACATCACTTCCATTGGTTGATTTCATTTCAGTCGTAAGAAAAGTAAAAAACATTGTGCTGGAAAATAAAACCATTCCTCCCTCAAAAGTACAAAATTATCCACATCTAATTAACCACCGACCATTCTACGTAAGGGTATAAATGTCATTTTCGAAATTTGTAAAAAATAACAGAGATCGAAAATAAAAGGAAGGAAGAAGGTTTTTGTGATTCGCTTCTTCTCCGATCCATTCCAAATCTCTCTCTCTCGTTTTCAAGTTTTCGTTTGGATCATTTCGCCGTTATGGTGAAGCTGAGACAGTCGCAGAGATTTCAGACGAGGAGATGGTCGACGTTAATGCTGGTTCTGTTGATGCTTTTCATGTTAACGATCGTTCTCTTGATGCTTTTGTCTTTTGGTGTTTTCTCTCTTCCGATTAATAACTACGACGAATCTTATCCGAACGATCTCTCTTCTTTCCGACGAGCTGCAATTGACAGGTGGCATGAGTTGTGTCGGAAAAAAAGAAGTTGTGTCGGAATTTTTTATTTTTATTTCATTTGTTTGTAATGTTTTGATTCAAATTGTTTTTTTTTTTGGTTATTTACAGAAGTGAGGGACTTGGGAAGAGAGGAGATCAATGGACTGAGATTCTTTCTTGGGAGCCAAGAGCTTTCCTCTACCACGGTTTCTTGGTTTGTGTTCTTAACTCAGAGATTAAGTGTTGATGCATTTCTGAACTTAAAAATCGAACCTAATGAGTGTATTAAATCAAATGTATTATTTGATGTTTGACTAGTCGAAGGAAGAATGTGAATATTTAATCAGTCTTGCAAAACCACATATGGTGAAGTCAACTGTTGTTGATAGCCAAACCGGCAAGAGCAAAGATAGCAGGTTTTCTTTCTTTTCTTTTCTCCATGGATGATAATGATGATTGCTTCATTTGTGTAATTGTTCTGATGATTATTATATACACACATTTTCAGGGTGCGAACAAGCTCAGGGACTTTCCTTAGGAGAGGAAGAGATAAAGTCATTAAGACGATTGAGAAAAGAATTGCTGATTATACCTTTATTCCAGCAGGTTTGTAAGAGACTTTTTCAGTGATCAATATGTAGATTAATTTGTTATGTATCTAGTTAGTATAAAAAAATAAGGATATTCATCTAGTATTGTGGGTAAGATGGTTGATTCTGGAATGTGCAGAACATGGAGAAGGACTTCAGGTTCTTCATTACGAAGAAGGGCAGAAGTATGAACCTCACTATGATTACTTTGTTGACGAGTTCAATACTAAGAATGGAGGTCAACGCATGGCTACAGTGCTCATGTATCTGTAAGATCTTATTAACTCTAATCATATTTTAAGGTTGTCAAGTTCATGTATTACAAATCATATTTTCTTTCTCTTATACAAAAAAACCCATACAGGTCGGATGTTGAAGAAGGCGGCGAAACGGTGTTCCCTGCTGCCAAAATGAATTTCAGTTCTGTGCCATGGTATAATGAGCTCTCTGAGTGTGGGAAAAAGGGACTTTCCGTTAAGCCGAGAATGGGTGATGCATTGCTCTTCTATAGCATGAGGCCTGATGCTACACTAGATCCCTCAAGCTTGCATGGTATAATAGTCATATAAAACACTATTGTACTTTTATTTAGATACCATTGAGGCATTGAGTGTGTAGTTGATAATATATGCTTCATTGATTGATTCTAGGTGGATGTCCTGTGATTAAAGGGAACAAATGGTCATCTACCAAATGGATGCATGTCGGCGAGTACAAAATCTAGCGTGTTTGATTACTGGTAACTGCCCATTAGCCCTTAACACGAATCTGTCTATTATGTTTTATGTTTGTTGAGCAATAGAGTAATGCATAATCATTAGTGATGAAATGTTGTGAACATCAACTAAAGCTCTGTAATCCTACATATTTTCCTCGCTTAGAGCATGCATATCCTCTAGACATTAATATATACCAACGCAAACAGTGGGTGTTATTATACGAGCTTGCTATTGATGTCTATACAGGATAAACATACATATCAACAACACACATTCACTCTTGGTTTTTACCTTATCATTTTTGTTGTTGGGCAGGACAGTATACTGTTTCGTAGATGGTGGATGAAATGCAACTTTAGAACCAGAAATTGCAAGAGAGATGTTTGTTTAGTCTTTTTTTGTCCCTGCGGCTCAGTGTATTGGTCAGCATCCTTCTTTGTTTTGATGGGATTCAGAGGTTTGTATATGTAGAGAATACCAAAAGATGGAACTTGTTAGACTAAATTAGGATGGATTAGAGATACTCTTGCTCATTGGGGTATACGTACCATCAGCTTACGTCTGTCATTTGATGTGAATTATTATGACATTATCATATATACAAACTGTTGTTATCTTTATAGAAAAGCTGATTTGTTTTACTCACACACCAAATTATCAAAGGGACTGGATCATTCTTCATTTGGCCTGTCATTGGCTCATTTTTGCTGGTGTTCATTCACTTCATCAGCCAGTAACTAAATGTTATATCAAGAAAACTGACCAAAAATAAGAAAATATTTAACATCTCCTACTACACAGATATAATATAAAGTGTAAGGGAAACATTTTATTACACAACAACAAAAAGACATGATTCACCAGTTTGAAAGACAGAAACACATACGGGCTTATAAATAGCGTTTTGGTACGAAGTTTCCCTACACACAAACCTTTATTATTACAAATGAAAAAAAGTAAAAGAATAATCCCAAATTCACGATTCTCTGAGTTTTTTCTTCTCTCGACATGATTTAAGTTCCAAATAAGATGAGAATGGAGCAACATGGAGGTTCCTTCAAAAGACTTAGCTTGTTGCATCGCGGCTGTAGAATTGATCGAGTGTTTTGGCAGGAATACGGTGAAGAAGCTCACGTGGGAAGATACGGAGCAGTGTCCATGCCAAATCAAGTGACTGGAAGATGTTTCTTGTATCGTATGCTCCTTGCATCACAAACTTCCTCTCAAACTTGTCCAGAAACTCTAAATACAGCTGCAAAACCACAACACAAGAAGATATTGTCATAAGTAATTTGTTGTTGTGAGTTTTAACATGAACATGAATATGACTGAGTAGAGAAAGGTACCAGATCTTCTGAAGACAGAGCTTCTTCTCCAACGACAGCTTTCATGGCTTGAACATCCTTCCCGATTGCATAGTTTGCGTATAGCTGAAATTACCACATAAAATAGTGATTTAGGTGTGATGAATGATACTAAATGACTATGTGAGATGATATAGTAAAGTAAGATTCTATATGTAGCGGACCTGGTTGGACACATCAGAATGGTCACGGCGAGTCATTCCCTCACCAATAGCACTCTGCAGAGTTGGAAGATTGTCAAGTTAATAAGTCATAGTATGTTTCACTCCATGTGTTTCATAAGGGTACATAATCGAAATGGCTCTGCTACCTTCATTAATCGAGAAAGTGATGGAAGCACGTTGATGGGTGGATATATCTGTTCAAGGGAAGAACCAGAAAAGAGTAGAGATCATTATAGATAGATGAGAAACCTTTTTGAGTCATGTGTATTAGAAAAAGATGGTTACAGATGCAAAACTAGTAAAGTATATGGCACCTGTCTGTTGTGGAGTTGCCTGTCAATGTATATCTGACCCTCAGTAATGTAACCAGTAAGATCCGGAGTAGGGTGAGTGATATCTGAGTATTACAACAAGAGATATTAAGTGCTTTGTTCAATCAAAAAGAAGAGAATCCAAGAATGATATGCTTTTGTTTACCATCATTGGGCATAGTCAGGATAGGGATTTGGGTAATGGAACCCTTCCTTCCTTCAATACGCCCTGCACGCTCATAAATAGTTGCAAGATCTGTATACATATAACCTGGATATCCACGTCTTCCAGGTACCTCTTCTCGAGCAGCAGAGACCTACAGTTCATCAAAATTTAAAGGTAGACGTCATTAAAAACATCCACCATGTTGTCAAAAATAGAAAAACAAAACATATTCGTGAGATTTTGGAAACCTAAACCAAGTTATGAATCATGACACAAAACAAAGAGATCAATGAAAGACATTTTACCTCACGAAGAGCATCTGCATAAGAGCTCATGTCTGTCAAGATAACAAGCACATGCTTCCCACATTCATAAGCTAAATATTCAGCAGTTGTGAGGGCAATTCGAGGAGTGATAATTCTCTCGATGGTCGGGTCATTTGCCTGTTGGAGTGCAATGCATCATAAATGTCAATCCAACACTGATATAATATACTTTTACCATCAACGAAATAAGATACAACATGAAGTATAGAAAGAAGTAAGTTACCAGGTTCAGGAAAAGGGTAACTCTTTCCATTGATCCATTTTCTTCAAAATCACGTTTGAAGAACTGAGCTGTCTCCATGTTTACACCCATAGCTGCAAAAACAATAGCAAAATTGTCCTCTCCATGATCCTGGAGAAACACAAGGTAAAAGAGTTTAGACGTTAAACAAACTTGCATAGTAATTCAAACGCTGAACTCTAGGCACTGTATGATACTAAACTATTACAAAATACAACCCTTCACATATACCAGGGAAATCTTTCAAGAAGATGTGCTACATACACACTTACTAAGACCTCAGCAAGATGTTTGTACTTTAGTGGTTGTAAAGGGGGAAAATGATTACCTCCTCAATTAGGTTCTCAGTCTTCTCCAAACGCTTAACAAGACCAGCCTGACGACAAATCTGAGCAGCAATTTCGTTATGAGGTAGACCAGCAGCAGAGAAAAGAGGAATCTTCTGTCCACGAGCGATAGAGTTCATGACATCAATGGTAGAAATCCCCGTTTGTATCATCTCTTCAGGGTAAGTCCTTTCACTGGGGTTGATTGAGCTTCCTATAAACATCATCCACCCGCCGACACAATTAAAACAACAACAATTCCTTGTTTTTCCGCAATCACACAATCAAACACTCACCAGAGATATCAAGATATGCCTCAGGCAAAATAGGAGGACCATTATCAATAGGCTTTCCAGAGCCGTTAAAGATACGCCCAAGCATGTCTTGTGAGACAGGTGTTTTCAACACCTAAAAATCAAAACATTATAAGCAATCCATTGCTTCTCAGAAACGCTTAAAAGGAGTAAATACCTCTCCAGTGAATTGAACGGTGGTAAATTTGTTGTCAATTCCAGATGTTCCTTCAAAAACCTGAAACCATAAAGATGAATACGTTTAGACACCAAACTCTTTACAGCTATTTAAATTGCATTTGTAAGACAGAAGAAGAATCATGAACCTGGACAACAGCTTTCTCGCCATCAACTTCCAGGACCTGACCACGTCGCATAGATCCATCACCTAACCGAATGTTAACAATCTCCTGGTACTTTGGACCCTGCAGGTTTAACATTATTAACATTCTTATAGCAATAGATAGAATTTAAATAATATCAATAGCAAAGCTTATTGTTATTAATGTGTGTAGAATATATACCTTCACTTTCTCAAGGATGACCAAAGGTCCAGCAACACCGGAGACAGTTCTGTACTCTACACAAATTCAAAAAGATCTTCAAAAATCAGTTAAAAAGAAAGAAAAAAAAGGTAGATCTCTAATCCGTTAGTCAACGAACGGTATCCGATGATGATGATCGGGGGACTTACCCATTCCGATCTCGAGAGCTCCTTCGTCCATGTCGATTCCAGCGGCCACCATTGTTGCAGATCAAGGTCAAATTAAACGGTTCCTGGGGGGGGGGGGAGAGATAAAGGATCACAAACGAGTGGCGGGAACAAAAGCGATATCAAAATGAAAATGAAAATTCGATCTGAGAATTGAAATATAGTAAGTGAAAAGAGAAGATGTGAGGAGAGAGATCTGATGATACCTGGAAGAACCAATCGAGTCAAGCAGAGAGAGAGAGAGAGGAAGAGAGGATTTGTGATGTGTTGAACGTGGTAGAAGATATATCTGACCTCTACTCATTATTTGTGTCTTTTTTTCCTAAAAAAAAGAACAAAATGATTATTATTTCCGAGCGAGAAAAAGGCAAAATATAAGCGCCCACCGTGGGCCTCGAACCCACGACCACAAGGTTAAGAGCCTTGCGCTCTACCAACTGAGCTAGACGGGCTTGTTGAACATATTTTCCTTCTGTTGTTATTAATCTATAACATATAACGATTTGGACATATGTTTGTTGAATGTTTTTTTTTATAGCAAAAAGATACAAACGGTTAACTGTTGAACTAGATATAAATATAATTATATGAACTAGAATCTCTATCAAATTAAATAAATTAATAATGTCTATAAATTAATAAATTTTGCTAATTCCAATTTAGATCTATTCAAAATTTACACAAATTAATAAAATAAATTTATAGAAAATTTTATGTAAATATGGTCCCATTAAATTATAAAGTAATTACTTATATATATACACAATTTATATAAGTAAAAATTTATCATTATATTGTTTATTTATATTCACAATAGAATTGTCTTTATATTTTCTTAACATTTAATATATTTTTGGTTAGATTTAGTAATATTATATCAAAAACCAAATTTAAATCATATGCAATATATATTACATACACTCTATAATATAATAAAATTAATAGTAGTGTCAAAAGATAATAATATTTAATATCTATACATCAAAATCAAATATTTTAATATCATGAAATAAATATATTTTAAAATAAAAAAATTTTAATTTTTTTTTTTATAAATTAATATCTCTATAAATTTAAAAATTTCAAAATCCCAACATTATTAAATTATAAAAGTTCTACTGTAAAAGCTCTCAAATCTAAATCTCTACTAATTTTACTATATATAGTGATCCATAAAATTGAATTTATGCAAAATTAAGTTCTTTTTTTTTTTTTTTTTTTTGAGCAAATGCAAAATTAAGTTCATTTACTAGATTTTGACCCTCATTAATACGCTTAATGCTTAATTTATTTTATTTTTTAGGTCCAAAAAAGATGCTTAATTTAATGAAGAGAAAGATGAGGAATTTTATGGCATCATCTATCATCGGTTCGGTCTGAACCGATTTAGAGTCAAACCGGAAATCAATTAGGGCAGTTCACTGGTGCATGGGGTGTCTGGGGAAGGGGAAGAGTTGTGCGGCTGTTATATATTATCAGAGAGCCGTCTTCTTCTAAAAGGGTGTAGAAGAAGAAAACCGTATCGAATACTTATCCGAATCTTATAGGGCTTTGAAGGATCTAACCCGAATAGTCTCACAAGGTAACCATTTCAAGCGATTCAAATCAGCAATATCTATAGTTGTCTCGTATGAACCCTAGTTTCATCGCTGTGCTCTTCTGATTCCTTGTGTTTGGTTCAGATGGACATGTATGAGCGAGTAGTGAAGCCCAAGGCTGAGACTCCTATTGCTGAGAACGAGATTCGTATCACCAGTATGGGTAGAGCGCGTAACTGCATCACTTACGCCATGGCTCTTTTTCAGGTATCGTGTTGAATCTGAAAAAAAATACAAATTCAGTGCTGATTTAGTTTGTTTCAAACAGAACTGGTGTTTCATACTGTTATGTAATTAATGATATAAGAGATTTGTTTTTCGGTAATATAGGAGAAAGGATCGGATGAAGTTGTTTTCAAGGCAATGGGAAGAGCTATCAGCAAGACTGTCAACATTGTTGAACTGATTAAGGTTTGATATTGGTTGTGTCTTTTTCAGATCACAAGAAAAGGGTTATGTTGTGTCTGACAATGTAGCTGAATCTTTTATTGCAGAGAAGGATTCCTGGACTTCACCAGATCACATCTATTGGATCCACGGACATCACAGATACCTGGGAACCTCTAGAGGAAGGCCTTCTTCCGTAAGTGGACGGTCATTTTTTGCTTTTTCGTGGGACTCGTATTACACCTGTTATTGATTTTCTTGTTCTTTTCTCATTGAAGAATCGAGACAACAAGGCATGTGTCGTTGATTACTATTACACTTTCAAAGAAGGAGCTCAACACATCCTCTGTTGGGTGAGTTTTCTAGTGCTTGTTGTTCTCTGTTATAACTAAGGCTCTGTGACTCAAGCTCTAGTTTGTCACAATGCTTATAATGTCTTATTAACTGATGTTGTAGGTACCAGTGTCCGATCCCAATTGAGATGGTGAAGCCACAAGCTGAGATTGATCACGAAGGACGAGGTATTCACTGTCTCCACTTTTATAATGAGCATTTTAAACGCCCTGCCTTGTTGTCTTTTATATGTATATAATAATCTATATGTCTGTTGTAGAGGGATCACCAAGAGGCAGAGTGAGAAGAGGCAGAGGAAGGGGAAGAGGTGGCAGAGGTAAGATTGCATTCGCATTTTCTTTTTCCAAAATATTAGTTTCACTTGATCTGTGGAAAAGGGTTGTAATTTTTTTTTTTTTTGTTTTTCAATATCTTTCAGGTGACGGATATGTGAATGTTGAGTATGATGATGGAGCAATGGAGCCTGAACGGTCACCTGGTAGAGGAAGAGGGGGCAGGAGAGGACGTGGTGGTCGTGGAAGAGGAGGCTACAGTGCTCCTCAACCTCACTATGAAGCCCAGCAAGATGGAGGGGACTATGGACACAATGCTCCTCAACAGTATCGTGAATATGATGATGGAGGTATGGATCATGAGCGTAGAGGAGGTCGACGTGGTGGCCGTGGAGGAGGACGACATGGTGGCCGTGGAAGAGGAGGTTACGGTGGTCCTCAACCTTACTATGAAACTCAACAAGATGGAGGAGACTATGGTAATACTGCCCGTCCACGGGATCAAAGGTATGATGATGGAGGTATGAACCCCGAGCGATCATCAGGTAGAGGAAGAGGTGGCGGGAGAAGAGGAGGACGTGGAAGGGGAGGTTACAGTGGTCCTCAACCATACTATGAAAATCAGCAAGGTGGAGGAGACTATGGATACAGCAATGCTGGTCCTCCACAGGATTATGGATATGATGCTCCTCCTCAGGGCCGTGGTATGATAATGTCTTAAAACACCATTGGTATTCCAGTATTTTGCTCTAGTTTTTGATGTGAATAAGTTGTTGGAACAGGACGTGGTGGCCGTGGAAGGGGAGGTCGTGGAAGAGGTGGAGGCCGTGGTGGATTCAACAGATCGGATGGACCACCGAACAATGCAGCTGCTTGAGTGAGCCAGTGTCGTTGAATGGACTTTGTTTTGTTTTTCCTTCATTGTCTATCTTTTGTTTTTGCCCATCAAAAGAACAAAATGTTGCCGTAGAATAATTTCTGTCTTTGATTTTGTCTTTAGGTATTGTTATATGTTAATTTATTTTATGAATGTTGCCTTTTGTGATTTTCAGGTTTGTTTTGTTCCTTCTATAACATTACCCAGTTTTGTCTCTATTTTCGAGTTGTTGAAAATTTGCAAGTATTGTATTACATTTACTTGCACGAAACATTATGGGGTCTGCAAACCACACACGTTGTGTGCTTCAATCTTTCACCAATCATTGATTTGATTCATCTCTTCAATCTTTTCCGGCCTTGCATTTTCACACCACCAGTATGCGTTTCTCGTCATTTTAGCAGCGTTGAAAAATCTTTCAACTATATGCAAAGTTGCAAACCCAAAACAAACCAAAACATACTGAAGAAAAATGATATGTGCCTGCTGACTGTTTAGGACTACGCGAGGAAGGCCCAGGCCCGTAGATCAAAGGAATGTTAAAAAAATTAATCGCCGTTGCCGGGGATCGAACCCGGGTCACCCGCGTGACAGGCGGGAATACTTACCACTATACTACAACGACTCTTGTTGCTTTGTCCTATCTTATTAAATACTTAACGTGAATTGTTTAAGAAGCTGTCTTGAACAAAAAGAAAAAGAGTTCATCTTCAACTCTGATCCACTTTCTCCTCGCCGGAAGCTCTCTACGATCAGCGTAATCCCTGATACTTCAATCGATCCCGTGAGATATTGTTCAAAGATGACTCAAGACGTAGAGATAAAAGACAACCACAACACCCCTTCTCAATCAATCATCTCCTCCACCACCTCCACTATGCAGCGTAAACTCTCGATCCACACACTCTCTCTTCTGTGTTTTCCAAAAGTTCAAACCTTTTAATTTCATAAATTTCACAGATTTGAAGGAGATTGCAGCTTTGATTGATTCTGGATCATACACAAAAGAGGTTCGCCGTATTGCTCGTGCCGTGCGTCTCACAATTGGACTCAGGAGAAAACTCACCTCCTCAGTGTTATCTTCTTTCCTTGACTTCGCTTTAGTTCCAGGATCCGAAGCTCACTCTCGTCTTACCTCCTTTGTTCCTAAGGTATTTTAAAGTTCTCGACTTTGCTTTTTTCTGTTATGTGAAATGTAATGATTATAGACTCTCTAGCTTGTTGTGGATGACGTGGGAACTTGTAATGCTGTTTTAGGGTGATGAACATGATATGGAAGTTGATACAGCTTCATCGGCTTCTTCTAAGCACATACCTGCTGAGCTTGAGATTTACTGCTACTTCATTGTTCTTCTTTTTCTTGTTGATCAGAAGAAGTACAACGAGGTTTCTTCCTGCTGCCTCTTTTTTTTTTGGTTTTGTTCTGTTTTTGTGCTGTGGTTTTAATTTCATGAGTTGTTTTTGGGATTCATCACTTAGGCTAAAGCTTGTTCTTCAGCAAGTATTGCACGTCTCAAGAACTTAAACAGGAGGACCATCGATGTGATTGCTTCGAGGCTGTATTTTTACTACTCCTTGAGTTACGAGCAGACTGGTGATCTTGCTGAAATTCGTGGGTTAGTAGTAGGTTACTGATGTGTTGTTTTAGGTTCGCTGTGATTTGGTCTTAATCAGTAGCTCAACATTTGATTCTCTGGTTCACTTGGTTATACTTGAAGGAATCTTCTGGCTTTGCATCATTCTGCAACCTTACGCCATGATGAGTTGGGTCAGGTATGTATGTGTTTATCAAGTGCAGCGTACATTCATTGCTATGAAACATTTTGTTTGCTACTTATTGAATAATATTTTATTGGATGCAGGAAACACTTCTTAACCTTTTGCTGCGTAACTACCTACACTACAATCTTTATGATCAGGCTGAGAAGCTAAGATCAAAGGCACCTCGGTTTGAGGCACATTCAAACCAACAGGTACCTCTTTCTTTTTAAGGCCTTCATACTTTCACTTTTCGTGGTTCTACTGATAGATTTTCTTATGGGACCTCTATTAATCCAAAACTGTTTTGAGAATATTTCTCCCATTTGCCTAAGCATTTCCATTTGCAATCATATCACTAATTTTTTCCAACCTAGTTGAGGTGTTCCGTTCTACTCTCTTATTACCTTTGACGCTTCCTCTAGTCACTATGAAAATTGACAAATGGTAATAACTCAAACTATATACTTGGCAGTTCTGTAGGTATCTCTTCTACCTGGGGAAAATCAGAACCATTCAGCTGGAGTATACAGATGCAAAAGAAAGCCTCCTTCAGGCAGCCAGGAAAGCCCCTATTGCAGCACTGGGTTTCAGAATCCAGTGCACTAAATGGGCTATTTTGGTTCGCCTGCTACTTGGTGAGATTCCAGAGAGGTCAATCTTTATGCAGAAGGGGATGGACAAGGCGCTGAAGCCTTACTTTGAGCTGACCAATGTGAGTTACCTACATTACTTTGCTCTTGTGACATAGTTTTAGTTCTTGTATGAAGAGATCACTAAAATTTCTCCTCAAATTTCTCTCGTTGGCATCTACATTCCTCTTGATATTGCGGCTGTTGTTTTTGGCTGCATCTAACTATTAAGAGCATGAAACCCTAAAGGATTTATCTCACTATGCACTGTTGCCTTTAAGTGATATATGATGGAACAGGATTACTAACTCTGATCTGATGGTTATGGCTAATAATCTGTTACAATTTTTGCAGGCGGTGAGGATTGGGGACTTGGAGCTGTTCAGGACAGTGCAGGAGAAGTTCTCAGACACATTTGCTCAAGACCGAACCCAAAATCTCATCGTGAGACTCCGCCACAATGTCATCAGGACTGGACTTCGCAACATCAGCATCTCATACTCGAAAATCTCCCTTCCTGATGTCGCCAAAAAGCTGAGGCTCAACTCCGAAAACCCTGTGGCTGATGCTGAAAGCATCGTGGCCAAGGCCATACGCGATGGAGCAATCGATGCGACCATTGATCACAAAAACGGGTTCATGGTCTCAAAAGAAACAGGGGACATCTACTCAACGAATGAGCCACAGACAGCGTTTAACTCAAGAATCGCTTTCTGCCTCAACATGCATAACGAGGCGGTGAGAGCCTTGAGGTTTCCTCCTAACACACACAAGGAGAAAGAGAGCGATGAGAAGAGGAGAGAGAGGCAACAGCAAGAGGAAGAGTTGGCTAAGCATATGGCTGAGGAAGATGATGATGATTTTTAAGATGAAGATAGTCTCCGTCCGCTAGAGTTTGTTTACTTACTTTGTTTCTTGCTTCTGCTCAAGTGTTTTTTTTTTAAATGAGGATCTGCGAATTATTACTGTTCCTTTTTATTACTTTGGTTTCATAACTTTAGGAAAAGAGATTTAAACCGTTGGGTTTCAGAAGATTGGAATCTTTTCAACTTCGTTTGATGGTGTTATGAAGATTCTCGTTGAATACTTTTAAGATATCTGTTGTTGGGGCGGCTAATTATTTGAACATAGACATGTGTAATATTATCAACTACAGGGTAAGCAAATTACAATAAAGTTATCTTTTTACTACCACAAGGATGAAGACTAGACATGTGGTATGACCATTGAATAATGGGTTAAATAATTGAGCCTTTCCCTGCCAAACTAGGTTTCATTTTCCTTAAAATAAACCAATATCATGTTCTGCTTTAATTTTACAGGTCTTTGTTGTGTGTTTCATTAATTTTTCAAAAATGACAAACATCAGTACCAACTAGTTTAACAACATCATTGGCTTTGCATTTCTTACACTAATCAAATCTTGACCAAGGTCCTCAAGTCCTTAACCTTGTTGGCTCCATATGTTTTTTTTTTTATCAAGGAGAAATTTATATAGTTTAGTGTAGTCTAAATTTTTTTTATTGTATTTGTAAAAAGTGGCAGGTAGATTTTGCAAGGCGACAGATGCCGTGACGGTGATCTTCGTCAACTTAGATTGGAGATCAAGTTTTGAGGAACGAATAACACAAAATAATAATAACTAATAAAGCGATTTGGCCTGTTGCTAATAATACATGACAAGCAAGCATGTGACTATGTGAGTCTGTGATCGATGAACCTTGCACATGTTTGTATCATATCACAAACAATAAAACTAATCTTTTGTCTTTCTTTCGACTCTTTTATTCAGTTAAACAAAAAGGTACTAGCATCCCACCGCATAACACACTGTTATGAACTTTTTAAGGGAATATAAACACAAGTACATAATTACAAAACAGAGGTTGCAGATCTACTGTCTTTTTGGAGTTAATATTACTTACAAATATAAACACAGGGTAGATAATAAAGACCCACATGTAAGGTTTTGTTGCTAAGTACTACATAGTTAACACACACTTGCCACCTTTATTTAAACAACACTCTCTACTTCCTTCACTCGACCATCAACACCATCATAATCTCTTTCTTCTTCTACAAAAGATAGTCATGGCAAAGTCTCTAGCTGGAGTGGTGCTTTTAGCCGCTCTTTTTATGGCGGTTGATGCGTTTAGACCATCTGGTTTAACCAATGGTCACGCCACATTCTATGGAGGGAGTGACGCTTCAGGAACAATGGGTAATTTTAACTATTTTTATTTGTTTTCTTGAAATAATGTAACGAAAACTGATAGAATATTGTTTTATTCAGGGGGAGCTTGTGGTTACGGAGATCTCTACTCGGCGGGGTACGGGACAATGACGGCGGCTTTAAGCACGGCTCTGTTTAACAACGGAGCTTCGTGTGGAGAATGCTATAGGATAACGTGTGATTACGCTGCGGACTCGAGGTGGTGCAAGAAGGGAGCTTCGGTTGTTATTACAGCAACTAACTTCTGTCCACCAAACTTCGCTCTACCGAGCAACAACGGTGGTTGGTGCAACCCGCCGCTAAAACATTTCGACATGGCTCAACCAGCTTGGGAAAAGATCGGAATCTACAGAGGTGGAATTGTTCCCGTCGTTTTCCAAAGGTTAGGCCACTCCAACAAGGAGTTTTAGCTAAGTATCTTACTAATTAAAACAAATAAAAATATTGAAAAAGAAGAAATTATAACAATTGGTCCTTAAAGTAGGACTTATGAGAATCTAATTAGACAGTTTATAGACAGATGTTTAGTGGTCAAAAGTTTTATAAAAATTTAGGTTTAATTGTATAACATTAATATTATAATGCTTGAGAACCTAAAGAAATTAAACCATATCAATCGCTGCTCTTAGCTTTTTAAAAAGAACACAAATTCATCATCATCCATACATGAAAATTCTTTTAGGAAATGCAAATGAACCCATTAACTTGCTGTCTGATCATTTTAAACCTTAAACTAGTATAGTTTACGAAAACATGGTTATAGTGATAGTTTGACTACATAACATGTGTTACTTGGTACGTATAATCATATGAACCATGTAGTTCATGTAACTAAATGATTCATTAATATTTTCAGATGTGTTATATTATGTGATAGTTTATAGTTCGTGTAGATTTTTTTTGTCTGAAACATTATAGTTCGTGTAGATATTAATCAATTTTTCACTATAAAAAGTTCACCAAATTCCAAATTGAATAACGGATAAATAGTTGTTGAATCTGGATTTGTTTAGCTTTTACACATTAAGAAAAATAGTAATCGATTTTAAAATGAGAGAAGATAAAAGAAAGTTTAGGGGTGTATTTTTGGACTATTCTATAATTTTATAACTGAAATTAATGTCTCTGCTTTTCATGTTTGGTCATGTAAAAAACAGAGTAAGCTGTTACAAGAGAGGAGGAGTGAGATTCAGAATAAACGGAAGGGACTACTTCGAGCTAGTGAACATATCGAACGTAGGAGGAGCTGGTTCCATTAAATCTGTCTCCATTAAAGGATCAAAGACTGGTTGGTTACCCATGTCTCGTAACTGGGGAGCTAACTGGCAATCAAACGCTTATCTCGATGGACAATCTATCTCTTTCTCCATTACCACTACTGATGGTGCTACGAGAGTCTTCCTCAATGTTGTTCCTTCTTCTTGGTCCTTTGGACAGACTTATGCTTCCAGGGTTCAGTTTTAAGATTCTTTTTGTCTTAAAGATTATTGGCAGTGGTCGCGGTTTGAGTCTGTTCTTTTCTCCCAGAGCGACCCGCCCGCTTTGTTATTATTATATATATGTATTTTCTGATTTTATGGTTTGGCCAAGAGCAAAAAAATTAACAGACTGTATTTTTCATAACAAAGTCTCCATAATATGAATCTGATTGCAGGCTAACCGCGAAGAGTCTATATCATAAACATGTCATTATGCCAAGAAAATAATCAATTATCTTTGTTAATGTTCCAAGATATTGGTAGATGATAATTAGACGTTTTATAGAGGATTATTGATTAATTTGACTCCTAAAACGATATTTAAATGCCGAATCTGATTTTAAGAACATTTCTCTTGTCAAACTATAGCTCATAAAATGCTAAATCAAATTTGGTTGTTAATATTTTTATTGTTTAGAGGATCCTTTGTTAATTGGTTATGACTTATATTGGAAAAACTAATAACAATGTATTTGTGTTTTTAGTAAGAAAATCGGTACAAACATATAAGTTATGCGAAATATAACTAAAACTAAAGAAATAAATTAAAAACCACTTTTAAAGTGGGTGAAGTAACCTAAATTCATTTTGAAGTTAATCATCTTGAGAAGATCAGCATAATAAATTTAAAATCCAATGAAGATTACAAGAAAAAAACAAAAGAATAACATAGTTTCCTTCCTTTGACTCAGTTGAACCAGAATCATGAAGAAAACATTGAAAGACATTCTTACATTTTTTTATATGTTATGATAATTCATATATAATCCCTACAAAAGTGTTTATTTGATGAACCCAAAGAATAAAAAAAATCAAGAACTTGGTCCAGTGATTTGTGAAAACACTAGTCTTCTTGACCTATTAATAGTGTGGAAACAAAGGTAGAGATGTTCTTCAAGTTCTTGCAATTGCTCTAAGAATCTTTCTTCATGTCCATTAAACTCTCTCAAGGCTTCCTTTAACACTTCAATCTTTCCACTCTTTGCGCACATCGCAGCTATGGTTTTTCTATGCTCTATCTCATCGGATAATCTCCCAGCAAGTCTACTCAACGTATCCAAATCATTTATCATTATAAACATTCCTTTAGCTGCTATATCCATTTGTGTCCCAAGCTTCTCTAGAGTTGTATCAGTCTTGCTCTTATTCTCCACGTTTCTTTTCGCTTTCTTCTTCCTCGAGAGACCTAATGAGCATAAACCGAGCATAGCAGGAGCTGCTAAAACGCCGAGTATGCTGTGTAACGCTACAATCAGCAACGCAATAACAATAGCGCAATGAGATATCACTAGACTACAACCTCCTAGCTTCTTGCAAAAGTTAAAGAACCTGGCTTTTCTTCTGATTCTTCTCCTTTTCGACGTCAATCTGGACAGCAAATCCGTGTTTGCATCATGAACTCTCCGGAACTGAGATTGGTTGATGATACAATACAAAGGGTTTTTCAGCAAAGCGTATCTCGAGAGTTTTTGAAATATCAAAGCACATTCAGGGGTTTTAGCACCGTTACAAACTCTTTTCCCAATCTTGATAACCCTTTTGATTTTGATGTGATTGATCTTGATTTGTTGGATGCATTGAAGAAGAGACTCGCATACATCACAAGCATCGGAGCTAAAGTCAAAGAAGTTTACTAGAAGATTGTGGAAACTCGAGTCTTGCATGAGAGCATCGAGGGTTTCTTGAGGAGGGTCGAGCAAGTAATCGGTGAAGTGTGATTGGAAGCTAGGATCTGATGAGGATGAAGGAGAAGGAGAAGAAGAGAGGTTGCTACAAGATGTTATTATGCCTAGTTGATCTTCTGCTTTTGTCCGAATATCTAAGTAGGACTTTGTCCTAAAAGCTTCCTTGTACTCCTCGCTAACACTTAGCTTGGACGTCAAGCTACGACGATATTCCTTCTCGGAATTTTCTGCTTTATTAACAAAAAAAAAAAACAGTTTAGATAACTCAAAAACATTTCTCTAAAAAATGACGAGGACAAATCTAAACATTACAGAAGTAAAAACATTTCAAGATTTTTTATAAACAATTCAAGAAAACGCAAAAACTAGTTAAGAGAAGAATAGAAACAAATCATTCAAGATTTTCTTGGAAAAAATGTTTTGAGAAAAGAAGTATCACCTTGTCTTGCTGAGGAAGACTTTAATCTTGAACTAAGAAGATTCTTCATTTTCATCATCTTCGATGGAGCTTAAAGGTAGATGTGATTCAGGTGAAAATAGACAAGCTTCTTGTTTCTTATATATACATACGTCTCTGTGTTTTTGTATGGCGGTTTATGATTTATTTTGTGATTAAAAGTATATATATAAGCGTATAAGTAGGAATGATTGGTTGGAGCAAAATAAAGAGAGAGAAGGAAGAGAAGATTGAGAAGCGACAGCTAGAGAGATGGTGTACGTTAGCACCGCTACAATAGAAGCTTTGAGCGATGTCTTAAAGCGCAAGTTAGAGGGAACGACACGTTGCGTTTTTGACACGTGTTGTGCTCTTGAGAGGAAGATGACTTGTTGTTTTGGAGAAGAAGTTTCCTTTTACGGTGTTAACGTCGCGTTATTTTTCTATTTTCAGTGGATGATAATTAAATTTTAATGCCAAATAAATAAAAGATGAAATTCGTCTGGAGAATTATATTATTGATTCGTTACGAGAAATTAGTATGGAGTTCCTCGTACGCTTTCCCAAAGCGAGTGTTTGCCACGTATACATATTTCAAATATTATCTGATTTGGGAATTTGCTTTTGCTAATGAATATATTTCTTTTCTCTTGCTATTTTTGTGAATGTTTTAAAGGTTGCTTTTGCTAATGAATATGTTTTAAAGGTTTATTTTCCAACTTCATGTGATTGAGAGGTTTGACGTTTTTGGTAGGATATGAAAAATATCTGATCATGGACTTGTTTCAAATTGAACTTATTTAAAATTTTCACGAGGGTTTTCTTTTTGTGTGTGTTAGCTTGTTATCTTTTTCGTTGTACGTGTTGGAGAGAAGATAATGTTTCAAACTGAATATAGCTGGTAACAGTATGTCAATTTTGGTTATATATTGTTACTAGGCATTGACCATTTCTACGTAAATTATGTGTAGGCTTATAATATGCTGGGAGATTGAAAACCCTAAATCGATTACAAGTTAAAGATTATGGTACTTTCGGAATTATTATATAAAAATGTTGTAGTTAATATATACGTCATAGTATGGAGAATCATGGTATATAATATACAGACATGACTACTAAAGAATATTATTTAGACTTGGCATGTGCTAGCTGTATATACGTAGTAATATCAAATGATTTAATAATGTGTTATACACGGATACTTGCTTAGTATATACCATAGTGTACAAAATGTAAGGACCATTGTATATCGCAGTCATTTCTTTGTTTGGTCAAATATAACGCGTCGCTATTTCATACCTTCACTGTTCTTAAATCAAACCTTGCTTGCCATAACTTTTTCTATTTTCTAATGGAAGTATTATATAAAATTATTAGTTTAGTTCATAACAATAAGCAACAATCCGATGTCGTCCAGCGGTTAGGATATCTGGCTTTCACCCAGGAGACCCGGGTTCGATTCCCGGCATCGGAGTTTTTTACAAAAATTTTTGATAGAAACCTAGCTGGGCTTCGAGAGGCTCTCATAGACTTTCTTTTTTTCACTGTTTCGCAGCAGCACAAACATACAAAGTTCAGTAATGGTGGATATGGAATAACAAAACTTTTCTGATCAATGAAATAATGAACGCTCTTGTAGATCAAGACATTAAGCAGACAACAGTCCCAAACATCGGTTTTGTGACATGCTTTCTCGGTCCTTCTATTATTGCGTGGAAAGCGAGCAGCTAGCTGAAAAAAGGGACAAAATGGTACTTGATTTCGTCGAGTTATATACGTCCTGCTTCTAGCCTGATTGGTAGGTTGGTTGGAACTAATGTCGTTGCTTGGATGATGTAAAACCATAGCGTTTTTAACAAGATTTTTCGTTACTCATGTTAGCATTCCCACTGGCCACTGCACATACACTTTATCATTTATCTTAATATTAATGTATAATTTAGTTAAATTAATAATGACATAATTTTGTCTTAATCATGTGAAAGTAAATGAATTTTTATAAAAAAAGATACCAACTTAAATATTTTTTAATCCGAGATTCTTAATAAATGTAAATGGTGTAGGATCCTATGAATAGAGGGATGTTACTGAATTCTCCGAATTTGTCAAACAAAACTCAAGAAACGCTTCAAAAACAAATAATATCGACCAGTAACTAATAAGTATAAACAACAACCCTTTCATACCGGGGCTCCGGATAAACTTGTATGGTTAAAGACGAACTCAGGAGTTTATACAACCAAATCGGGCTATTATGCTGCTCTGGAGGCGAGTGAGGAAGGGCTAGTGGCAAATACAAGTCTAAGTAACTGGAATAAAGAGGTATGGAGATTACCAGTTGCGCCAAAAGTCAAGCTTTTCCTCTGGAAAATTTTCCAGGGAACACTTGTGGTTGGTGAAAATTTGACAGCACGTCATATAAATGTTGATCAAAGATGTAAGAGGTGCAATGAGATTGAATCTACGAATCATCTTCTTCTTCACTGCTCTTATGCGAAAAAAGGTTTGGGACTTGGCACCTTTTAGCATAAACATTGATAGTAGAAGATTGGGAGATTTGGCAGATTGTTGGCCTAGTCTTTGCAGATTGATTACTCTCCCTCCGGTGGGATTGGGAGAGGGAGCTCTTACTCCATGGATCCTTTGGTCCATTTGGACAACAAGGAACAACTTTATTTTCAATAATAAAGATTCTCCACCTGGGGAAACCATGCTTAAGGCGGTTAAAATGGCCCGGGAATGGGCTTCTGCTCAGGTCAAAGACACTCCACGCCAAGGGCTAAAGACTCAACCTATCGTCACTCCGGCGGGTACTACAGTCATTTCGGTTGATGCTGCGTGGAGAGCGGATTTGAACGCAGCAGGTTTGGGATGGGTTATCCACACCCTAAACGGGAAACTCCAGTATGAAGAATTCTCAGGAGCGGTGAGATCTCCTCTGAGTGCTGAGGGGTTAGCACTTCGCTCGGCTATCTTGAAGTGCAAGGAACTGGGTTTCCAGAAAGTATCTTTTGAATCAGATTCTGCCCAATTGATCGCTGCGGTCACAGCTAAGTCTTCTTTTGTTGAGCTTTACGGAATTGTTGCAGACATTCTCTCATGTGCTGCTGGGTTTGATTTCTGCTCCTTTGTTTGGATCCCTCGTGCGAGGAACAGAGATGCTGATTCCTTAGCTAAGCATGCTCTGTTTTCTGAATCCCTTGTATTGAACTCTTTGGGTTTTTAAGTTAATGAATGAAGTGGTGTTACAAAAAAAAACAACAACAACCCTTTCATAAGAACAATATGATTAAATAATACATCCACAAATGTTATATCCTGGCAGTATAAAAAAAGCTTAAGTAAAATTCCACTTCTCAAAATAAAAGAGGGATGTATTTTTTAACAAGTATTTTGGTTAAGATTTCATATAATCTTTGCGATGGATGGAAACTATCCCAAAACAGATAAGCAGATATATTCCTACACACAGTTGATGTCTCTTGGTTGCAAAGTGGACCTGTTTCCACTAGTCCGGTTCCACAACACCCTCTATTTATCACTTCAAACCCTACAAACATATTACATAGATGACACACATATGTTATATTTATAAAAAAAGTATGAAACTTATATAGTTATCAAAAACAGCGGTTATAATTAAGTTACCGTAATCCGCGGGGTTTTCTAGAATCTGGCTGAATGGAGAATAAATGTCCATGAAGATCAATTTAGAATCCGGTAGAGTTTTAGCCAAATGATCTAAAGCAACCGAGAGTTTGGCATTGAAAATCTGAGCAGCGAAGTTAACATCTTGAGCACATTTTCTATGAGGACCTCCTTTTAGAGTTCTTTGTGCTGGTATACATCCCAGTGGTGTCATTCCTGCCACTCCTATATGTCTTGCTCCATATCCATATAATTGCTGTTCAAAAATTATTTGATTCTGATTATTGTTTCAAAGAGTAAATGTTCATAAATACACATCTCAACTTTTAATGATTAAGAAGTTATAGTCTGAATGTCCTTACATAGTCTTAGGAAACTTGTTATATGAACTTGTTTTAGGAAAATAGATCACAGCAGAAATCCTTACTAGGCAATTTTACTAAGTCAACTCTACGGTTGTCATAGATATTTTTTTAGGAAGCCATTTTTTTTTTGCAAAATATGTGAATCTCATATAAATATGAGCAATATTTGTAAAAATACAAAATGAAAGAGATGAAAGAAGCAAACATACCATGACGAAACTGGTGGCAGACTCAACCATATTAGAGGTAAAAGAGTAGATATCATCTTTGACCCATTGACCACCTGGACCATAATAAGTAATGCCCATATCGTTGCTACCTGCGAACACAATGGCTAAGCCATTGGCTATTATATGATCGCTCTTTTCTTGTCCTACTAACTTCCTCACTCTCGATATGTATTGTTGGAAATATGTCAATTGGTTCAACATTGGTATCACGTTCTGGTTTTGATTATTATATAATACGATCAAATGGTTAGTATGGTTAAGATAGTGGTGGTGAGAAGAGATTATATACGAGTTTACCAAATATGTGGGTGTCATAGGAATGTAACCACTACCACCCGAAGCAAAGCATACACCGCTGAGTAAATCATTTGGTTGCAATCTTGGATCCATATATGCTGGCACGACCGATTTTATCCCCAAATACTCCGCTGTAAAATAAAGATAAATTCAAAATCGTATCTGAAAAAAAAATCGCACATATTATACGTCAACTGAAAAATATTTTAAAAAATCATCCTAGTATAAATGAAAATAAATCTCTTTTGGGATATTATTCAGTAAATGAAAATACGTAGACTATATACTTTAAAAAAAATGGATTATATACGTTGTTATCTTTCTTTCAGTAATTATATATCAAGTTTGTATGCATCTACGTATGCATTTCATGTTTATTTTAACATGGAAATGCAAGCACTTATGTATACGAAATGCAGACGAACATTCAGGGTTAAATAAAATAAAACCTACCCGTACATATCATTTAGACAATCATTTTTTTACTATAAAAAAACGAAAAAGAATCAACTTACTAGAGTTTTTTTTTTTTTTTTGGTAAAATGTAAAGATTATTAGTACCAACTTCTCTGTTTTTGACAGAGATTACAAGGGAGAACAAGAGTTCACTGTAAAAAGGGAGGAAAAGGCCAAAGGAAAGAACCTAAAAAGTCGGAAGGGACTTTGCCATCGCTGTACCGACCAGTGGGAACACCTTGTAAGAAATCGATACCATACGGTCGAAAATTACACCGGAGAGGTGTGCTTACATTATTGTTATTTCCTGTGTCTACAAGCGAATCCCCAAACACAAACAACGCCGGTACGGTTACGTTCTTTGGTGTCTCTTGTCTTGGAGATGGGTCTGATGGACACGGGCATGTGCAAGGTGGTACTGATGGCAACGGTTGAGGAGACTTTGGTGGGAATTTATATGTGCCTTGTGGTGGACATGGCTTTAAAGATGGGTCAGGTGGTGGCGGACCTGGAGGTGGCATTGGTTGAGGCGCAGGTAGTTTTGGTGGGCATTGAGAATGGATTGTGACAAAGCATATACAAAATGATAAGAGGAAGAAAAGAAACCGAACCAGTCTATATTGCTTCATGATCAGTATCTGAAATGTATTCACCTATTTGCTTATGTTTTTAGGTGTCAGGTCAATAATATATACAAATTGATTTGTACATGCGATGCATGTGACCGTGTATGGAGCTGGTTGTGTCTTTCTGATCACACGTTTTGGAACTTCCTAATATTTAGCTTTAACTGCGGTTTCAGATCAGATCTAGTTCTCTACTATCAAGAGAGCATAGAGCCTCATGAGAAAACTAACTTACTATTTTTTTATATTATCCCCAATAGTTTTCAAGATTAAACCATAAACTGATTTGTAGTAATATAAAGAATTCATTGGATGAACACTGCTCGAATCATGTGTATGAACAATGAAATCTATATGTATAAAAGAGAAGGGATTCTCTTCACACGCTGCCACGAGATGAATTCTACAGATTGTAATAATCACAAAGATCAATAATACTTGTGGTATGATCTCCTTATTTTTGACACTAAAGAGTTTGAACTTGCAAACAAGAGAATGATCCAAACTATAGATTCATACTATGATTCTCAGATTCTCAATCAGATCACTTGTATAAACACACAATTGGAGGCAGAAGCAGAAGACAAAACAGCTTTAGTAAAAGATAGCAATATTAATTAGATTCATATGTCAAATACATAATGATCCCCATCAAGAATGAAAGAGAAGAGAGATAGAGATTAGACTACATAGCAAAGAGTAGAACACAAACGATTCACCAGCAAAGAGAGTAAAAGACACAAACAACACAACTTGTTTTAAGCAACTATACATACAAAAAACTACTCCAAATGTCTCCCTTCATTGTCGGAAATCGGAATGATCATTATATTAAAATGGGGGAGGAATCAAATAGTTGAAATCATCATTCTTCTTTTTAGTTGGTTACCTAGAGATTTTCTTTTTAATCACAAGAAGGCGCAACGGTTCTTGTTTTTTTTCTTCTTCCTCTGCTTTGGTGGTTGAAGCACCACTTTTATGGCTGCATCAAACACTGCCTTCACATTCTGCAGAATCAAACAACGTCAGCCTCATAACAAGAATAAGTAATAAGAATCAAGACAAGGGATTTTGTATGTCTCACCTGTTGTGTCTTAGAACTACATTCAATATAGACAGCAGACCCAATCAGTTTTTTCAGTTCCTCTCCCTGCATCATTCATAACAACATTAAGACCATAATTCATCAAGAGTAGTAATCATAGTGAGACCAACACTGTTACAAGATTACAAGTACCTGGTTTGTAGTTATTGGTACAGCACCAGGATGATCTATGAAGAATTGCTTGTCATCTCGAAGGTCTACAAACACCACATGATCATACAAAACTTTGTAATAAAAAGTTAAGAAGAAGATGGTCAGATCAGTTAGGGAAAGAGTCTTGTTACCAAGTTTTGTGCCAACGAGGATAATGGGAACACCAGGAGCATAATGCCTGAGCTCAGGAATCCACTGAGCATACGAAGAGCAGAGTCACAAATCAGGACTAACCAGAAGCTATGTTTGATTATTCAAGAAAAAAGAAGCGCAAACCTTCTTAGAGATATTCTCATAGCTAGCTTTGCTGATGAGGGAGAAGGCAAGAATGAAAACATCAGCTCCACGGTAACTCAGAGGTCTTAACCTGTTGTAGTCTTCTTGACCTGTTTCAAACAAAAGACAAAGTCAAGACCGAAACAAAGGTGTTTGAATGTTCCAAAACGGTTTAAAGAAGAAAAGATTTGTTTTACCAGCAGTGTCCCACAAGCCAAGATTGACGGTGTTGCCATCTACAACCACATTAGCACTAAAGTTGTCGAAAACTGTTGGCACATAATCCTGCAAAGACATCAAACACAAGTTCACAGATCTTAATCTTGTACAAACCAAACATAAGCGAATATTAAAGATCATTAAAAAAAAAGAAGAAAATTACAGTGGGGAAAGTGTTGCTAGTGTAAGAGATTAGCATGCAGGTTTTTCCGACAGCACCATCTCCGACAGTAACGCACTTTATGAACCTTGACGCGCTCATCTTCGCCGCTAGATCGAAAAAAAGCCTTCCTTTCCTTTGTTCGTGCTTCTTACTCAAATCTTCGACATTCCCTAATAACCAAGGCTTCTTTTTTTCTTTTTCTCGGCCACTAAATCGAACTCGGAAGCTTGTGAATCTGAGAAGCACTTGCTGAAGACAGGACAGGATTCAAAAATGGCAAAAGTTTAATCGGTGTAAGAGAGAGAGAGAGATGATAAAAGAAAGAAGATTGATGACTTTGATGAAGACTTAAGACAGAGTCATTACCATTACAACTATGTGCCAGCTAAGAGGCATCTATATATATACTCACCCTCTCCTACTTTATTAATTTTAAAATAAAAATTTATTACTTTATTTATTCAGCACTTATTTTTTATTTTGAAATTTGAATATCTCTTTTTCTTCTTTTCATGTCACGGGTTTTGAATTTTTGAATGAATACAAATGTCATGAATGTTTTTTTATTGCTAATATCTCTGAGTTTATTTATTTACGGTATAGTTTATAGTATAGCCACAAAAATCAAATAAAAAGACATAAGGGATAGACTTTGTAGTATAGCTAAATATGGATAGGCGAAAATGAAATCTGTAATCATTGGATTTGGCAACTATCACTAACAACGTGCCACTTAGTGTTAAGGCACGATTCATAAATATCCAAAATCTTCTTCTTTCTTTTTCTTCTCAATTCCTTTTGGATTACGAAACATAGGAGACGAGAGTCCAAACTCCAAAGGGGACGTGCCTAACTCTAACTAACTCAACCAATAACGATCCACCATGTCACTTAATGTTACATCTTCAAATCATACTCACAACAGACTGTAACATCCCGGTTTAATGGTATATGGAAAGGCTTAAGAGGATTGATTTGTCTACCTATGTCACCAAAGTGCACTTACCTTTTCGGGAGCACATCCAGAGAGAACTCCAGAGTTAAGCGTGCTTGAGCTGGAGTAGTCAAAGGATGGGTGACCTATCGGGAAGTGGTTTGTGATACCGTGTAAGTGAGGCCAAAGCACGGGGAAAAGTCGGGTGGTGATTGCAGGGTCAGTAAACATGACTCTAGAGCCTTGGAAAATTAACGAACCGACCGTTGGAACGGGATGGGGCCCACGGGCCGAGAGAGTGGACGTGGGTGGCTCATTAGCCGTGGGCGGTCGGGGCGTTACACAGACGGTAGCTTCGTTGTTACATTTGCCTCACAACACAGCTTGGTATGTAATTTGTAATTATTATAGTTTTGGAATTAAACAAAGAAAAATGGAGGAGAAAGTGAGGAAGGTAAGATGAGTTAAACCAAATCATTGTATCTAAGAAGTTAAGCTTAATACATCTGCCTGGTCCTTCCTACCAACTACTCACCAAACCATTAACCATTTCACTTTTCTTTATTAACTAACTCCAACTCAAATTTATTCAGACTATATTATATACAATAGTCGTTAATAACTAATAACCATAACTCTGTAAACATCAACGGGAAAAATGATTTCCAAAAAATTTCATTTTCAAATAAGCTGCAAGATATAGCAGAACGTCTATTAAGCGTTTGTTGGACCGCTAAATTTCATGAAACCCTATTTGGATTAATGTTAACATGAGGCCCATTAAGATTATATAAGCCCATTATGCTTAAAATCTAGAGACTTTACGTAAACTGCAAGATATCCGAAACAAATGTTCTTTCTTGAAACCCTAGGAGAAGAGAGAAGAAACACAAAAAGCCTTTGGTATCAAGAAGAAGTTCTCCACTGAAGCTCAATCTGTATCCGACCATTCTTGGAATCAATCAGATGATACTTATCATTGATTCTCCGATTACTCACCACATCAGCAAGATTAATCACTACGTAACCAAGAGCTTCCTGATAAAAGAAAACCATCCAATCAAAAACTAGTTCTTGCTTAAACATCCAAACAGATCAGGTCTTGTGTTTATACCTTAGACTGAATCAAACCCATTCGTGAAGAAGTACTTATGACTTCAACATGAAGCTTATCGTTTATAGGAGGCTCATCTAATGGAAACTGAAAATCTTCATCCCATCTTGGCTCTCTGTTCTTCTTCACACGCTGGAAAATCAAACAAAACATGTTTCAAGAACGCAAATGTTAATGTCAATGATGCGGTTTTTGTTTTTTGTATACCTTTGTTTTACGTTCTTCTCCTTTAAACAGCAAACGAACATAAGGATTCGTGTGGTATTTGCCTTCTAAATCTTCAGCTTCATGAACAATAACCACAAGCAAGCCACCTCCAGAAGGTGTGCCGTCTGGTGCTTTCTCCACTGCATTTGGATCATCTAAGTTGTCTGGAATGTTATCTTCTTTAAATGGTTTATACTCAACTTCCACGACAAGCTGTCCACGCGATTTCTCGCTAACTGGCTCGTTTGGTTCCATGGATTTTAACAGCTCAAGTGTCATGAGTTTTGGCTCCTCTGGTGTAAGATCTTTAAGTGGAATCACATTCATTCCTATCTTATCATGTTTACCAACCTGAGACATTCAAATGAGTGGTGATTACCTGCAAATGTGAATCTTGGGACACAAGCTAGTTCAGAAAAGGAGTTGTTGTTAATTACCTGTTCCCAATCATAAACAATGAGCTGCAATACTTGGCTCTCTGGTTCTTTGACAACTAAATCGAATTCTTCGTTCCACTCAGGATTTAGATTGCTGTGTTTGACAACTGTCTTTTTACCAGGAACTCTGTCTCCAGAGAGTGTTAGTTTCACATAAGGGTCTGATCCACCGAGAAAGTCTTTCTTCTTAAGCTTTATTGCCTTTATGACCTTCACATTAAGCAATCCAACAGGCTTCTTCATTGCACTGCAGATCATGAAACTCAATATTTAGCATTTTCACAACGGTAATAGAAGTGAGACTTTAAGTAGGAAACAACAAAAACTTACGTAGAAGGATCCATTATCTGTACACACAAATTCTTTGGCCATAGGTACATGTTTGCAACTTGATCTTTAATGAGTTCCTACAGTTTTTACAGAGTTTTAGGATATAAAATAACATTTGGGCAGGTGGGAAAGGAGATGATACAGCTTCTGAAGCGTCATACCTGGACAAACCGGTACAAGCCAGGGATTGCCATTACATCTACACCTAGTAACTTCAGTCCAAAATCTACTTGTGGCTGCACAAGAGATTACATTTTAGACTATGTGTGTGTTTAAGGTGTTATACACAAGATATTGATCATTTTTGGACTTATACCTTATCCATAAGGGAGACAAATATGTTGGCAAAACAGGGGAAGGATGGAACCAATGGCTTCAGAGTAATCCTTGGAGTAGCATAGACTTGCAAATCAACCACCTGTTGATACAATCTTGCCAGTAATCAGAAGAAAAAAATGTAGAGGCTTTTCTTGGAGATGTAATGATCAAAAACATACCTGGACAGTGGCTTTTAACCCAAATGCTTTAGCTGCAACAAGGATATTAGGGTTCCCAGCCCACTTCACTGACAACTCCATGATCAGTTCTTTGTCATCAGTTGCATAAACTTTCATTCCTGCAATGAGAGTGAGACTCAAAACAAAAAAAAAAATGAAGAAGAAACTGAAGAGCAAGAATGTGTATATTTATGAGTGTTAATAAGGTGAAACCTTGAAAAGTTGGTGGCAATGAACCCAAAGTGAGCATTTCAAATTCAACTGAATCGATTTTGTAGTTTGGAATTTGTTCAGCAATAATTGGCTTTGCAATAGACTTGGCCATATTAGAAATAGCCTGAAAACGTTTTTAAGAAACATTGTTTATAGCAATTAAGGACCCATGAATGCAAAAACATGGAGGAAGACTTTACCTTGTCCAGATAAGGCCACATATAGCCAATTAGTTTGTTAAGCCAGTCAATCTTCAAAGATAACAACAGAGAGACTTTGTTACATATTATATTAGACCATATATATTATCATATAATTAACTAAGAGGAAATAGAGAAACATACACGATCAAAATCTGGATTTTTCACCCACAAAGGTATTTCAGGAAACATTTTTGCTATAGCTTCTGAATCTAACTCCACCAATGGCTTTATCTCAGGATCCTGATCAGACATTGAACAGATTATATAAAAATTTAACAAATAATAAGAACATCATGCATGCATGCAAAACATTATCAGTAGATGTATCAACAAACAAACAAAAAAAGTAATTAAATGAGAAGAAGATTATAGAAGATGCCTGAACATCGGTAGGTTGGTAATAGATGAACAAGTAGTAACCGATCAAGATTCCGATGGTCGTTCCGAATCCGAAACCAAACGTACCCAATATTGTGCTGATTATTCCCATATCTCATTCAAAATCCAAATCTCCTGGAGAGAAAAAAAGAAGAAGA